AACTCGGTAATTGGAGGCAATTAGCCTTCACCTTGATTCTGGGTTTCAGGCGAACAGAAAAAAAGATGCAGGAAAAGAAAGATTTAAATTGAGAAATGGAAAATAGTTTTCATGAGTCAACTATCTTTGGTTAATAATTATTCTAGTTAGTTTAGTTGGATTTTTTCACGAAATTGGTTGGCAAAAATGTCTCAGTAGACACAAGTGACCTATTGTGTTGTTAATAAGTCATAAAATGACTCGGACGGTAATTTTCTCTATTTTAAACTCCTCATACAAAGAATTAGCACAAACTCCTAACAAACTAAGAATCCATGTGCTTGGCTTAAAAAGGACAATAGCCCACTACAGAATACCTAACGAATCAACCAAAAAGCCTAAAAGAAAGACAACCAAACGTAACTTTAGTCTATTACGCGGCATCAATCAGTTACGTACAGCAGAGGTTATTGGTCTTGGAACAAGTCAATACTGACAGCAGAGATAAAGTACCTAAATCATCCTTAACCAACTAACCGAACATTCCTACTCTAATCACTTAAAACCAAATCACCAGATGCTATGGTAGGGGACAAATTGGATATCCGAGATATTTAAGGATATTAGGATCCTTATCCGGTGGATCCATATTTTTACTATCCTTATTCGGATACATGATTCTTGGATATCCATGTGTTGGATATCCTTCTAAACATTATAATATTTGGATCCAGATTTAAATTCTTAAAATAAAGTTCTCTAGGATAGACTTAAAAAAAGTTTTTATCACAAACATATACTTTAAAAATAAAAATACCCAAAATAGAATTAAATATTTTATCAAAAATAAGTAAATATACATTTATACCCTTTGGGTTCACTAATATTAGAATTTTTTGTTTAGAGTTGAGGAGTGGGATTTCGGGGGTAGGATTTCAAGTTTTAAAATAAAGAAAAATCTTAAATTTTCAAAATAAAAAATGTTATTTTGGTCACTTTAGTTTTTGAGGTCTATTTTTTTGATAAAAACTTAAAAATTCTATGTGAGAGATTTGCCCTAAAATTTAATATTAAAATATTAACAATAATTTTAAAATAAATTATATATAATTATTTAATTATTTCTATGCATACTATTAAAAATTCTATAAAATTTATATATATTATTATAGAAATGAAAATATAATAAATAAAATTTTATATATAATACTATTTTGAATTAGTTATCAATAAAAACGGAAATGGACATCAAGAGTAAAAAATCAATATATCCAGAATCGAATTGTGTTTTAACAGATTCAAAATTTTACTATCTGGATCTGGATCCGCCCCCTCCGAATATCCAGATTTTCAGAACGGATCCAGATTCGGATCTCAAATCGAATCTGGATTGGATCTCGGATAGTAAGTCTCAGACCTAGCTATTGGGTTCTTTTATGGAATTGATTGCTTTTATTGACTATGAGTATTCTGTTTACATATTCATAGGTTGAATTGCAAAGTGATTCCTCTGTTTCGAAAAATCCATGTTCTACAAAAAAAAATATTTCAGAAAATACATTTTTTGCATTTTTAATAATTTCCAATGTATTATTTAATGGTAAATTGTAAACTTAAAACTGTATTTATTAAAATTTATTGGTTAAAGTTTACCTTTGAAAGAAATTTTATTTTATTTAAGATACAAAGTGCATTTATTAAAGCACCTCCATAGGTGGATTAGAGGACAATATCTACAAATTATAAAATTATAAAATAAGAAAAGTTGATGTGAGAAAGTGATAGGTTCTCTGCCAATACCTTTTTAAAAGCTCTCCAGATACCATTATTCAAAACTGTCAAGTTATTAGTAGTTGAGCTTTCTAAATAAAAATAAATTATTTACATAAATAAAATTTAATAAAACTATAATATAAAAGCTGTAATAAACTGTGTGGGACTCTAAATCGTTGAGGTTACTCTTAGAGCATCATAGAGTATATTTAGAAGAGTGCCTTTTTCGACAAATAAATATATTGATATTAGTAATATTTTAAAACAAAGTACAAGATTGATCGGGAAAAATACCGTTGCAACAATGAATTGAAATTTAAATAAAAAAGTGAAATATAACCATGTTTTCCTAATGAAAGTCTTACTTACTAACCGAAGCAATCTGTTATGTTCTGTTATGTTCCTTCTTCGTATTCAACTTCGATTGGATGAGGATACTCACAAATTTTCTAGGAAGAGCACATTTCTATTACTATATTAATATTTTAAAAATTTTATGTGATTTAGTTTTATTGATGAAAAACAAAATTGCACTAATGAGAATATAACAAATGGAAGTGTAATCCCTCAAAATTGAGTGAAGTTTCTCTTGGGGATATGATTCTTTCTACTCCCTTTTTCATATTCGTTTTTAATAATTTTTTATTAGAAGTTCTCTTATTTTTAGACCATGCTCTAACGGTCAATGATTAGAATTCACTTAATTTAAATTAAGAAAATCAATCAACCACTAATAAGATGAGACATGGGATAAAGAATTCTAAAAAGTCAGAGATAATATCTTTGTAAAGAATTGGTTTTCTCTCTCTTCTTTTTATCTATTTTTTTTCTTTCTAATATCATTGTTAGAGGTGTTCTTAGAACTACATCGATAGTTTGTTGATGGAGTTCTAACTAGTTAAGAAAATCAAAAAGTAAATAGATGTGTCAGAAGATATACTTGCAGATGAACCTTTTAAATATTTTTAATACATATATCATTCCTTAATTTAACTATCATTTATACACAACACAAACACTAAATAAAAGCTCAAACATTATCAAAATATTAACATTTTTATTACTAAGAACCTAATGTTGGTATCTCCACCATTGGAAGTATTCTTAGGCTACCCACAGCGTGCGTTTCTGGGTTAGTACCTAGTAATAAAGAAAATGAAAGAAGTAAAAAAAGTGGAAGAAAAAGAGAGAGACGGCCATTTATAAAGAAACTTTTGCAAATATTGGAGAGACTCCATCTCAATGATGTCACACAATTTTTGGCTCATTTTTGTTTTACTATTTAAAATTTTACCTATATAATTAAATTTCAATAAATATGATTATGAGATACCCTAATGAGCACCTAACCACTAATGATGCTCTTAGAACATCATTAGTGGTTACATATCCACTTAGATATCTCATAAACAAATTTATTGTTATTTAATTGTATATTAAATTTTTTTAATGATAAAATAAAAATGAACCAATGGAAAAGTGACATTAATAAAATAGGTCTATTTAATATTGATAAGAGTATGTTCAGGAAAAATCTCGTCTCTTTCTCTTTCCACCACTTTTCTAATTTTTTAATTTTTTTTAATTTTTAGAGACTCTATAAAAAGCTCCACTAAACATAACTTTTAGAACACCTTCAATGGAAGTATCTCATAGGATATATATATATATATATATATATATAAGTATTTTATAAACGAAAAAATAATAATTAAGGAGAGAACAACAATAAATTTTTATATGAGTGTCAACTTTAATAGAACTCCTCTTTCCACTTGTCATTATATTATAAGCTTATATATTTACTTAATTTTGAAATTTGATTTCTCAAATAAAATTAATTAAAATACTAATATTATGTTTTCAAGAACCCTATTTTGAAAACTTTACCAATAATGTTGCTCTTAGTAGCTAAGGTGCTAAAATCTATCCCCACATTTTATTGCCTTCTTAGAATGCCAGCAAACTCTATGGACTTGTAGACCTAGTGGTCTCCAACTGCTTTCCAAATCAATGTTGACTCTTACTTGTGGATCTGGACCACCTGGTGTACTCTTTTTTATGTTTTCCGGTTTCTAACTTATGGACAGTTATGTTCTAGAGGAAGTTAGCCACACAAAAATTTAGATTATCCTTAGTAAATAACCTAAAAATTTGCAATGGCCAATTTTTATCACAATCATAAGTACATTTTTCTATAATTTCTGAAAGTAGTTTATAATGTATCTATCTTCTCAACAACAAAAAGTTTTATCTAGTGAATATATAGAACTAGCTGTTCATGGAATGAAAAATTGTTTCATTAAGTATGTATGTCCATGATCGGGTGATTGTGATCGAGTGATAAAAAGATAAAGATTGGGACACTAACACGTTTCAGATTCAACTCATCTGTTACGAAATTAAATTATAATTATTTCTGGTCACATAATACGGATATATGTCAATATTTTAAAGCTTTTAAATGTTTGGAAAGAAGATCTATATGTGAACTACACTTCTCTTTTGAAATTAATTTGGACTTTTCTATCGATCTGAGATTTTCTCACGTTAAAAAGAAAAAAAAAATATGCATGCCCCTTTCCAATAACGGAACGATTATTTTTTTTCAGATCTTTCTTTTTTTACCGGGAAAAAATTACATCTTTCTAATAACTTATGATTAGTTCAATAATCATATGATGCTAATTATACAAATTTTGTAGTTTTTGTCGTGTACGAATTATGGCATACTAAAAACTTGACAGGTTTTTTAGTACGATGGCATATCGATAATTTAATGGTTGGTAACTCGGAATCTTCAAACACTAATCAACGTTTCTTTAAAAATCGATTGATCTTTTGGTGTAGGTAAAGTTTTGTACTTTGGTGCTAAGGAGTAAGGCCATGCCATTTTTAGTTTTTTATCAATTAAGTCAGATGTCTATAGCTTTGGAGTACTTGTGTCATTTGTGACTTGAGCAAAAAAAAGAAAACAATGAAGAGTTTATTACAAAAAAATACCAAAGTGATAACAATTGTGAAGCAACTAATGAATCTACATTTTGTCTCGTCTTGTTCTTTGACAGTGTTTGCTCTATCTGATTTATGTACCGTGTCCTTCTGTGTGCCACATGATTCCTTCATAAAGTTGCAACAATCATTGTACAAGTACTATCCCATGTAACGGTATATGCATATATATACGCACACACTTGTACTTGCTTGGTTCTCCTAACTCAAACAACATCTGTGTGATGATCTTGAAAATGAAACTAAAGAATCTCTTGCCAGTCTTTTGGTTTTTCCTTGTAGTCTTTCCTGTTGTGTCTCCACAAAGATGTGGGGAAACTGGGAATTTTATACCACATGATAAGTATGATACAAACCGTCACACTCTCCTCTCTTCTCTCGCTTCTAAAGCCTCAGCTCGAGGCGGCTTCTACAATGCTTCCTTTGGACAAGGATCCGATAAGGTGTATGCTGTTGGGTTGTGCATCCCAGGTGTTGAGCCAAAGGTTTGCTCAACCTGTCTCGAACGTGGTTATATTAGGTTGACAGAAGTATGTCTTAACCAGACAGAAGGCCTTGTCTGGGAGTCGAGAGGAATCGTTTGTTTGATACGCTACTCCAACCGTTTGTTTTTCGGGTTGCTCGAGCTGAAACCAAGTTATGAAGTGCACAATAGTGCAGACATCAGATACGATTTTCCCAAGTTTGATAGTTTGTGGAAAAACTTAACAAGTCGTTTGATAGATAGAGCTACTTCATCGTCATCTGAACTTAAGTATTACGCAGCTGAAGCAGTACCTTGGACAACTTTACAGAATATATATGCATTAATGCAATGCAACCCGCTCATATCTTTGGGGGAATGCAACATCTGTTTAAGACAATGTGTTAGTGACTATGTATCATGTTGCCATGGGAAGCAAGGTGGCATCGTTTATCGTCCCAGCTGCGCTTTCAGGTCGGAGATTTATCCCTTCTTTCAAGCTTTTAACCTTACTTTGGCGCAACCACCAACATCTCTCTCACCTTCGGTAGGTCAGAGGACTAATACGACCAAGAGAGGTAAGTTGTCTTATGGTGTCCCATGGTTTAAGAAAGGCTTGAAACATTTTCAGACATTTAATAATTTATGTTTGTTTGTGTCAGGTGGCGAGTCAATCTCAGCCGGAATTATCATGGCAATTATTGTTCCAGCCATAGTTATCTTCTTGGTACTACTTTCTCTAGCCATTTTTATTTGCAGGAGGATGAAGTTGAAAGCTTTTAATCGCCAAGGTGAGTTGTTTGGTGTTTTTTCATCCTTTCATTTATCTTATGGGAGTCTGATTTGGATTTATTTATTTATGTAGTTCCTGTTAACTTCGAGTAAGTACTACTGTGCACTTGCGCTTTTATATAAAGTATATCATTTCCAGTCATATGCACCTTCTATGGTCTAATCCCACAATTAAATGGCTCTGCAAAATGCAACTTTACATAATATTTTGTTTGTACCAGAAAATAAAACTGATAGTTTTGGACCAGACATATACTCTTATTTTGTAATAAACTCCACTACAACTCTGCTTGTCTTTTTTCTTTGTAGGATCTAATATTGATATAACTTCAGCAAATCCACAGCAATTTGACTTTAAAACGATTGAAGCTGCAACAGATCAATTTTCAGAGAGAAATGTAATTGGTAAAGGTGGATTTGGAGAAGTTTACAAGGTACATATTGTTGATCTGACCAGCCGGTTTTTGTGATTTTCTTAGAAATTTTCCACAAGGGATTCACATTGTCTGATGATGTTTGTCTTATTGATTATATATATAGGCTGCTCTTAATGGGACAGAAGTTGCGATTAAGAGGCTGTCAAAAGCATCAGGACAAGGTGCAAGAGAGTTCAAGAATGAGGCTGTTCTTGTGGCAAAGCTTCAGCATAGAAACCTAGTTAAACTTCTTGGATTTTGTGTGGATGGGGCAGAAAAGATACTTGTCTATGAGTTTGTGCCGAACAAAAGCCTTGATTTCTTCCTCTTCGGTAAGTCAAATTTAGTATGCATCTTTGTAAAGCTATAGCTTGCATGGACAGTGTTGAATATGTGTGGTATGCGCAGACCCTTCAAAACATGGCCAGTTGGATTGGACAACACGGTACATGATCATCGAGGGTATTTCTCGAGGAGTTCTATATCTTCATCAAGACTCACGGCTCACAATCATACACCGTGACCTCAAATCAAGTAACATTCTATTAGATGCCGATATGAACCCAAAGGTTGCAGATTTTGGAATGGCAAGGATAATGGGGATTGACCAAACTCAATCTGATACGAGCATGATCGTTGGAACCTAGTAAACACTGTTTCGTTTCATTGCTCCTTTTGATTAATCATTTTCTTGTAGTATGTAGTCTTAAGTACTCACTCTGTAATTCTTTTTTATTCTTCCAGTGGTTACATGGCTCCTGAGTATGCAATGCATGGCCACTTCTCAACGAAATCAGATGTTTATAGCTTTGGAGTCATTGTTCTTGAAATTATAAGTGGTCGAAAGAATAGCAGCTTTTTTCAGCCGGATGGTAATGTTAGCAGCTTGGTCGCATATGTAAGCATTAGCTAACCAAATTTCAGAATTGTGAACTTTCCAAAACTGAGTATTCTCATTCATTGACTGATTATTATTTTAGGCCTGGGAGCTCTGGAGAAAGGGGTCACCATTAGAAATCGTTGATCCATTCATCATGGAGAGCTATCAGCGTAACGAAGTTATAAGATGCATTCATATTGCACTGTTATGTGTTCAGAAAGACCATGCCAATCGCCCGGGAATGAGCACAGTTATCTTGATGCTCACCAGTAACACAATCACTCTACCTGTCCCTGGAGAACCTGGATTTGTTTACAAAAGCGGAAACCATGCAGACAGTTCTTTCCTTTGGTCGGTTGATGATGCGTCGATGACTCATTTAGAACCTCGTTGATCCAACCATTATATCCAAGTTGGATTATCCAACTAATACATATGTCCCAAGTCGAAGGTATATGTGATTATAATCCAACATGTTGATTATGTTTGTCATGTCCTTAAGCACATTGTCCGTAGTTTCTATTATTATATGTGTAGATCTTTTGTTCCAGCATTATGGTCATTTCAAAATTTGTAATATTGAACCAAAGTAGTTATGATTATAAGGATATGTGTATTTGTTTATTTTCTTGTTCCCCTTTGTAGATTGGCTTGTTTGGTGGTAACGTGATATACAAGCTAGTAGGGTCATCCAAATCATATTCTGGTTACAGTTGTCTCAAAGATGACATCATCAAATGTTATATCTCTGAAAATGGTCAAATGATATTTGATTTCATCCACACAATTCAAATTTTCTAGTTAATTATTAGGTGAGGCTTAATGGAGTTTTTTAAGTAATGCGTCACAGTTAAATCTCCTGGATCCAGCCATTAACTATGGACCTATTTCAGACACCTCGACAATGTAGGAGATCAATCTGATGAAAAATTTAAAGGGTTTAGTACAATCGAGTTTTGATGAAAATAGAGAAAATGATGATATAGAGAAGTGAC